TCTGTGGAGAGAGTAATCATTGCGTGGTCTGACCACATGATGGGAGCGATGGATGTGTGAGAGAGTAGGTGCAGATGTCTATGTGTAAGAAGGAGGAGATCTATGTGCAAATAAGATTGTTTGGCACCCGCCAGCAATCAATGAGTTTATGAGAATGTAGTAGGGCCCTTATTTTACATCTGTGTCATAAGTCCAGTCGTGTGGTGACTGTTGAGTTGTCTAGCCGTGGGTCCAGTGTAATATTTAAGTTGCTTCCCAGTATTGTGATGCCTTCAGCAAAAGTTTCTAATGTGGTCAATATGTGGGATAGGGCGTTATGTTGTTTAAAGTTAGGGGGTTGATATTCACAATGATGTCCGTCTTATTGGCAATCAAACCCTTGACAAAAAGGAACCTCCCATCTGGGTCCGTTTTACTGGAAGATGGATTAAAGTTCAAGGACTTTGAGAAGAGAATCACGGTGCATCTTGACTTAGCCTAGGTGTAGTTGCTGTAATAGCCTAATGGGAATCTATGGTTCCTAAGTATAGGGGTATTTGGGCCTTTAAAGTGACTTTCCTGGATAAACCCCACGAGGCTCTCGCAGCATAAAATTTTCGTAAGGCACTTGACCTCTGCTCCAACCCCTCCTCCCCCTCTGCCCCAAGAACCTTATACATCATTGCATACTCATATCAATTGCTTATCAACTATTATCAAGATAATGATTTACTCATGGTAGGGATGACACCATTCAGGGGCATAGTCCTTTTTTCAGGGACAAAATGGTTTGCACTGTAATTGGGCTCATACTTCCTAGGTTCAACTTCAGTGGTCTGGGTGGGTTCTGGGTTTTTAGAGCACTGTGCCGATTTTGCGCTTGAGTACAGCCTGTATAGTCATGATGGATTGCACCTAAATGAAAGAGGGTCTGCTATGCTGCAGGATAGGATGGCTAGAAGGTTGGAGGAGATTTTAAACTAGTGGTGGGGGGGAGTGACATAGATATCTACAAAACTTAGATATGACAGAAAGGAGATTGGCTTTAGCTCAGCATGAGCAGGGTGGAGATGGTGGGAGGGGCAAGACTAGAACAGGAGAGGTATAAAACAGCAATAAAAATTTGCACAAAGTGATTCATGATAATATTAAATGTATGCTTACTAATGCAAGGAGCCTAAATAACAAAATGGGGGAACTACAATCAATAGCATACACTAAGCAATATGATATAATAGGCATAGCAGAAACATGGTGGCATGAGACACATGACTGGGCAGTTAACTTAAATGGGTACACATTATTTAGTACGGATAGGAAAAACAAGGAAGGTGGTGGGGTATGTTTGTATGTCAACAATGAGTTAAAGTCAAATCTTAGGCATGTGTAGTGTGACAAAGAAAATGTGGAAACTTTATGGGTAGATATCTGCTTGGGGCAAACGAAGGGAAATCAATTATTGCTTGGGATATGTTATAAACCACCTAATGTAAATATTAATGAGGAAGAACTGTTAGAGCAAATTGGGAAAGGTGTACATCTGGGTAACACATTAATTATTGGATATTTTAATTACCCGGACATAACTTGGGATAGAGGGACTAGTACTTCAGCCTGGGGAATCAGGTTTTTGAATGTGTTAAATGACACCTTTGTGTCACAACTGGTACAAGCACCAACTAGAAAGGATGCATATCTGGATCTTGTTATAACAAACAATGATGATCTTTTGACCAACATTCAAATATGGGAGCATTTGGGAAATGGTGATCACAATATGGTATTTTTTTAATTAAACTCAAAAAAGCAAAAGCATGTTGGGTATTCTAAAATGAATAATTTTAGAAAAGCCAATTTCAATAAAATTAGGGCAGTTCTACAACATATTGACTGGCATAAACTCCTTAGTAAAGAAAACACTGAGGATAAATGGAATCTCTTCAAACAATTATTAGAAAGGTACATTTCTCAGTATGTACCATTGGGTAATAAATATAAAAAAAAAAACAAATTGAAACCGATGTGGCTAAGCAGGGAAGTAAAACAAGAGATTAAAAATAAGAAAAGAGCATTTAAAGCTTTTAAATCAGACAAATTAGAGGTATCCTATATAAGATATAAGGAAGCCAATAATGCTTGCAAATAGGCAATTAAAGTGGCTAGAAACAAACAAAAAAGCAGACCCCTAGATTTGGCTACTGTGTGTGTGTCTTCTGGATATCCAAATAGAGGATAACCCTAATTAAAAATTAAATAGATAAAGAGTATGATCAAGGGTTCCGAAAGGAAGTCCCAAGATCATGGGGAGGATATCTCAGAGTCTTAATCCCAGTTAATCTTAAAACATACTGTATTGATAACAAAAATACACTAAAATAAAAACAAATAAATACTAATCACGCTAAAGAAAAAAAGAAAAAAAATATGAGTTACCTAGAGGGGAGCTGAAACAGCTCAAGATTGCCTTGTCAAAATATGAGAAGGAACAGTGAAGAGTAATGAAACCTTTGAAGGGGGAAAAAGAATGACTGTAACCTGTCCTATCTAAATGAAGGATACAATATCCACAAATGAACAGTTACAGATTAACCACCTACAGGTTCAAAGCTAATTGTGCCTACAAAATAGCTGTAAGTAGAATTATAGATCAGCGTGTTGCAGTAGATGTGATCTACTTGGATTTTGCCAAGGCATTAGATACAGAACCTCACATTAAATTAGTGTTCAAGCTAAAATAAATTGGTCTAGATGAATATTCTTGTTCTTGGTTAGAACATTGGCTTAAGGATAGAGTACAACGAGTTGTCATTAATGGTAAATCTTGAAGCTGAACAAAAGTGGTAAGTGGTGTACCTCTTGTGGCTGTTATACTGCAGCCACTAAAGGTGGATTTAAGCCAGCAATGTAAACATTACAGGGTTAAAACGACAGGGCCACTGCACGCAAGCCACTTCATTGAGATAGCTAGTGGGCTATCTGGGCTCCATTCGGGGGTCGTTATTTTATGGATCCCCCTTACACGTTAATTGTTCCTTTGTTCCCTGTTGTCGAGATGGGCAATTTGGTCCTGCTGTTTTGATACCTGCTGCCAGAGCTGTTCCACCACAGTGAGGGTTAGATCTTGTTCGTCCTCAAGGTCTGTTACTTTAGCTCCCAGCGTTTCCACCCCTCCACAAATGGAGGAGATGTCATTTTGTTTCGAGGCCTCCATCTCTCTGAACATTTCCATAATATTAGCTTTTGTGGGGAGTCTCTATAGTAGAGATTGCATGTCGCCGTCTGTCTCTATATCTTGTGAGTATCCAGAGTCAAAGGTATTGTCTCCACTGGCCTCCGCCATCGCCCTCATTTTCTGTTTCCACCAATAAGTGCTTCATTTGCATTTGTATTTAACCCAGTGGGGCAGTTGGGAAAATCCTTTGCTGTCTTTTATTGGGCATAACACGTTAGTATCTCAGTGCTGTTGCAGTGCTTATCCCCTCCTGCCGCGGAGCTCAAGCCTTACGCGGCCATCTTGATTGCTAGACGGACACCCCCAATGCTATATGTTATTTTTATTAGGATTACCTGCCAAATCAAGAATTTATGCATATTTTAAATGTGAGAAGTGAGCAAAGCCAAAATGAAACAGGAATAAAAAAAAAAAATTTCACTCAGAATTGTTTGCTGTATAATGCAAAAATATTAGCAGGAACAATGTATTTAACTATAAATTGTATTTTTTAAACTTGGGAAATTACAGATTGGGCATAAAAGAACATGTGTCAAGCTGTTATATTGAATATACAAAGAAAAACATCCAATTAATGAGTGCAGAGTGAGGGCCCTAGTTGTGTTTTGAATTCACCATGTCAAATAGTCTTTTGTAACATTATAGTTACTTTTCATTTACTTCTAGTTGACAGAGAATATGGAAGGGGAGCACATTTTCTATAATATTAATGAATATAGTCTAAAAAAAGTTAAAATGATAAATGTAAAAAAAAACACAGTTGAAAAAGTCACCATGGCATTTTATATTTTCTTTTTAATATGTTCCACCTTGCAGCCCACCTGCCACTTCCCTCTTAGAATGTAGCACCTTGTAAAGAGAACATAGTTTTAGTTTAAAAATGTTCATTATTGTAAACCATTATGTTGATGCTATTCTCTTTCTTGAATCATACATTTTGGATTTTCTTAACAGTGTTTTTTTTTTGTTTTACATTCTATTAACATAAATAATAATAGAACCTTTGAGATTTAGCCTTTAGATCCCTGTAGCCACACTTTGTTTGATTTTATTGTTGAAAGAAATTAAATAAAATCAGTATTATGATATAATACTAACCCCAATGAGTTATCAACTCAACCAATCTTCTGCTAACACCAAAATGTTTCACAGTCCCAAGATTCCAAGTCTATAGTGACTTCATATTCTGGAATCTTTGGCACAGTCCCAATCTTCAACGTCTATATGTGACTTCATATTCTAGAATCTCTGGAAAATTACTCTGGTTTTGGAGATGCAGGTATTATTATTATTATTATTATTATTATTTTATTATTTATATAGCGCCAATAAATTCCACAGCTCTTTACAGTGGGTGGACTTTACAGTAGTTTGGTGGCAGACAGATATTGTCATGTGATATGTTATATCACTATATATATATATATATATATATATATATATATATATTATATTAATATGTATTAATAGCCAGACTCATTATGTGATCATTAATATTTGAACATTTGCAGGGGCAGGGTCCGACTATCATGGTGAAGAGACTCATTACGAGCGAGCTGACTACAGCCTCGTATGGCTTGAGTGGCACACACCAAGTAAAGTGTCAGCTCCTTGACTAATTTGACATACTGTGAAGCAGCTGGCGACCTGTCGGGAGCTTGTCCACTCCACTTCAGCAAATGAGGCTTAGTGAGCACAGGGTGGGAGAGGCGGCTGATCTTGCAGCCCAGAGGTGCCCCGATTACAATACAAGAGCCCCGTAGCCCCCCTCTCCCTCCTTTGGACCGGAATGGGTGCACCTGGTCCATACCTGGGAGGCTACCAGGACCTGGTAGGTTTGGGAAGGGAGACCATCACAGCTGGCGAAATCAACAGTGACTCACCTTATATGGTGGAGTCCGCATGGCTCCCAGCCACAAGCGACGCACGTCATGATTTTGAGACCCGGCTGGACAGAATCTTTGTCAACTTCTGGCAATGGCTGAAGAGCAAGATTAGTAAGCTCCAGCATGGAGATGACCTCCAGGGGCTACAAGCATGACCTCCCAAGAATCTCCTGCTCAGCTTCCAGCGGCGGACTTAGCTCCGCGACATGTGCAAATCTGACAGCTGTGGAGATGGCGGAGACACTCTAGCCACCACAACATCATAGAGGCAGGATGCCACATGGCAACATACCAGCATGATCTGCAGCCCTATCCTGCTCCATCTAGAGTTTTTAATTTTCCGCAGAGGCATTTAATATCACAATCTGAAATACTTGTGGCCTTCACCAAGGCCCGTCTACCAGACGACTGCCTTTCCGAAGTGTAACTCTGGTCTCCCACGGAGGGGTATGGGATGACTTGGAATTGGGAATCCTGCTTGCTTGTCTATTGCCTCTAAAATTTTTATTTTTATTTACATTAATCTAAAAGCTCCCAAACAGTGTGATTTTATTATTTTCATTAAGCTTTAGATCTGCTAAATGACAAAAGTTAAATGTTATACATGTGATGCCTGATAACTGATCACTGTTCTGGGGGGCCTCCTGGGTGTATTGATATTTACAATATACGTGTCAGGGACACAATCCTTGTATGAAAGCTTACTTACATCTAATGTTCAGACACGTATGTTATTTCTGCTTATTTTAATTTACAAAAAAAATGTGCAGACTCCTTCAAATGCCATCAAATGTTGGATCATGTCTTCAGTTGCACTTGCACTTGCTATTGAGGCATTGCAAGCATGTTTTTTTATCTTTGTACACAACAAAAATAAAGATTTACAAAAAAAATTATATTTGAACCTTTGCATGTTATGTATGTTTTCAACATGATCTAAAGGAAAATTCTATAATTAATGTAATAAGGCTCAATATCATTATCCTATGTGATTGCATTCTGGTGCACTTTCACTTAAAGGTACGCAATAGGCACCCAAACAACTTCATCTCATTTAAGTGGTCTGAGTGTAGTGGTCCTGTCCCCTTAACCCTTCAATGTAAACCAAAACCAGCAACGAGGGACCTTCGTGCTTGAATCATTTTTTAACTCTTTGATTGCCACAAGGAGATGGGGGAGCAGAGTGACACTATAGTCTTAGGAATACAGTATTGTATTCCTAACACTAAAGTATATCGCTAAATGTATTACACTATGTTATCTTTTTCCTCTTCTAGGTTACAGCTCTATCTTTTTGTATTTGTGATATAGATTGGGTTTTGGGGGGAGGGGTACCTATTGGGAAGGTCCCTAGGGGTTGCTTAGTCTTGCCACTCTAAGAAATGGTACACATAAATATTTGTTGTGATCCAGGTTTGTTCTTACCCTTTCATGACAATAACATTGTTCACAATTTAACTGATAAATAACACAGTAGATTATGGAACACATGAATTGAAATGGATTTGCAATTCCATTTTTATTTTATTTTTTTAATTTGAAATGTTTTATTGTTGGTAAATTTATCACCTCTGCTCTTGTGTCTATATTGATCTATTGGAGATGTCTCCTCTTTTATTTTTACTATATAGCCATACTATTTATTGATGAATGTTAGCGTTTGAAACTTTCTTAGGATTTAAAGCCAGACAGGGCACAGAAAAGAATCTAGTTGATATGCTAGCCGTCAACACTTTTAATTTGTTTCCCATGTTTGAATAAATTCATTTTGTCACAAAAAAATAATTCACACAGGTTTGCTTGGTTCCATATTGTCCAGATTGTATCTAGAGCCAGTGGTGTATCCTGGTTTTGTGCTGCCCTAGGCAGGACAAAACTCAGGCGCCCCTCCACCCCCCCCCCACGCCAGCCCCACCCAACCCTTCCCCCCGCCCCGCCTTCTAAATACACACACACATATTCAATGACAGATACGCATACACACGCTAACAGACACACACACACACACTCACTAACAGACACAAACACACTCACTCTAACAGACACACACACACACACTCACTAACAGACACACACACACTCTAACAGACACACACACTCTAACAGACACACACACAAACACACACACTAACAGACACACACACACACTAACACATACACACACTAACAGACACACACACTAACAGACACACACACACACTACACAGACACACACTAACAGACACACATTCAGACACACACTAAAAGACACACACAAACACACTAACAGACACACACACACACAGTCAGACACACACAAACACACAGTCAGACACACACATACACACTAACAGACACAAACTGTCAGACACACACACACACTAACAGACACACACACACACTGACAGACACACACACACAGTCAGACACACACTAACAGACACACACAGTCAGACACACTCACACACACACTAACAAACACACACACATTAACAGACACACACACACTCACATTAACACATTTTTTTATTTTTATTTACCCCCCCCCCTTACCTTTGGGAATGCTGGGGGGGGGGTTCTATCTCCCTGGTGGTCCAGTGGCTGCGGGTGGCGCTGGGCTGGGCTGGGCGGGTGGCTGGCGAGGGAGCTCTTCCTCTGAGCTGTTTGCTCAGCTCCCTCGCGCACCGCAGAGTGAGGCTGGGAGCCGGAAGATGATGTCATATTCCAGCTCCCAGCCTCACTCTGCGGCGTGCAAGGGATCTGAGCGGACAGCTCAGAGGAAGCGCTCCCTCGCCAGCCGCCCGCTCAGCGCCGTCCGCCCGCTCGGCATGTCTCTTAGCCACGAGGCTAACAAAGCATTTGCCCTGGGCATTTGGGGGCAGCGTTTTTTGCTGCCCCCTGAAAAATGCCACCCAAGGCAAATGCCTTGTTTGCCTCGCGGCTAAAACGCCCCTGTCTAGAGCACACTATCTAATTCTGATTTGTATTGATGTGTTTCAGTTATCACACAGCTACCTTGTGCAATAGCCCAACCATTTAAACCCAAGCGTCAAAAATCTTCACTACTGTCTATTTATGTGTTCTATTTGATTTTCTCTATTCTATCTGCAAAATACAGTTCTACATAATATAACATATAATCCAAAAAAATGGATACATAAGTTGCTGAAATATTGTATAACTTTATACAATAATTATATGCACAAATCAATTATGGACTATGAGAGAAAAGTTTTGTTTCAGTGTATGTGACAGATTACATAGGTTATGATCATCTACTTGATAAAAGTGTAGTAATTACCATGTTTACATTTTACAGAACCTGCATCTGGGTAAAGACAGAAGACTAGATCCCTCTAGGAAACAAACAACTCAGGAGCATTTTTAATAAACACTGGCACCTTTTAACCCCTTCAGGACGGAGTCAATAGTACACGTTCTGATCAAAACAAAATGTAAACAAAACCTGGCATTTGCGCTATATGTCTGTTCAACCGTAATTCACCTCTTTCATATTATATGCACCCACATTTATTATATATCATTTTGTTCAGGAGAAACAGGGCTTTCATTTAATATCAAATATTTATATATGAAACATAATTTATTATGAATAAAATAAAACAAACTGTGAGAAATTTAATTTTTTTTTTTAATTGTAGTTCCGCCTCACATTTTAGCTGTAAAATGTCATAATACTGTTAGCCTTTACTGCAAAAAAAGCTCATATTTTGATTTAGCAAAGTCTCACGAGTACAACAGTAGCCCCCATTAACAGTTTATATGGTGTTTTGGAAAGTTAAAGGGTCAAATATAGCACATTCCATTTTTCAGTTTTTTCACATTGAAATTTGCCAGATTAGTAATGTTACCTTTGATAGAAAAGAGTATGATAGGTGCTCACTCCAATAAAAAGAAAGAAGTTAGTGGCTGCAGTAACCAATACAAGGATTCCCAACCTTGTAAACAAACAGTTCAACCAGAGAGCGAGAGAGGAACCGCGCCCTAAATAAAATATACGTACATTCAGAATATTTTTCTTTGAACAATTTTCATATACCCTCAAAAATAAAAACAGAGAGGAAACACAATGGTGCAGTATAGTTAAAAAACTGAGAGAGGTATTTAAGTAAATTAGGATAATTTGCACTCACATTTGGTAGAGCTAACCAGGAGCTCTACCGTAATTCGCATGGATGGAACAATCCCCGTCTAAGGATCTATGTGGAATCAGATATCTCCAATATTCCAGTGATACGGCAATGTAAAAAACATAAAAAGAAACTCCAATAGTGCAGTATGTTTTAGTAAAAATTAAGAAAAAAATAATAAAGAGTATGGTACTCACATTTACTAGAGCAGAAACTTGCTCTAGTATATTTGGCTTAAGTGGTATAATCCCCACTAAAGGATATGATGACCTTGAAGTAAAATAATAAATAGGTGTATATAGCTTTAAAATACTATTTAATGACAATGTATAAAAAACAATATGGCTATAAAAAGTCACACTTAACGCGTTTCTACAGGCTTCTTCAAAAGTGTAAAAGAGTCTTTAAAATGTCCTTTATATAGGTAACTTACTTAGAGTCAATGGCTTCCTGGTGTGTTTGGTCTTCTGTTACCACTTGTGGAACGCGCGCGGCGCACGGAAGTGACGCGGCGTATCGACATGTGATCATACTGTGTGTTCCAGCGTGGAACGCATCAGCGCCATATTGGGGCCTTGTGCGTTCTTCTATACAAATCCCGCCAAACAATATCAAATTACAATACAATTGCGGCAACCCAAATCAGCCATAGTTGCACTTCACCAATAGTCTTCCTCCCTATTCCCTAGTGAGCACATATCCTCGGCGTCCGCACAAGGTGACGTCAATTTATTCAATTTCAGATAATCAGTGGTGTACAACCTGCCTTATGGCTTCCCATGCTCTGTCTCACTGCCGTGCTCCATGTGGAGCAACCCAGAAGTGAACGCTCTGGGGGGAGCGATCACCCGGTGTTCTCCAAAGGCCACCGGCAGTGAAGGGGAGTATTGCAGCGATGCCTCAACATCGAGGTATCGCTGTAATACCATTAGAGTTGCTGTAAGAGATCATGATCACTTCTAGCGCTCTAGCTTCTTTGCGCGTATGTATCAGGTACGTCTGCGGTCCCTAAGGACCATTTTTTG